ATGGTTTTATTTTCGCGTTACGTTTTATGTTGCTTTGTTTTTTGTTAATGTCTTTAGTTTTAGGTCTGCAATTACAATCGACAATTCATATCAATTGGCAGAACTAGCGCTTTCTAATTATATACACAATTTCGGAGGTTTAGGCAGACAACTCCGCCATGGAGATGAAGACGGAGGTGATCGATATTTCGTCGAACGAAGAGGAGAAGGATGACTGCATCGTCCTGGATTTGTGTCCTGTTTCTAGGATTTCACCGCTAGAGTTTTATTTGTCCACTATCGTCTTTTGGCGAGGAGCAGTGCCGTCTTCCGGCAATTCGTTCGTGGATAGGGAGATTCGGTTGGAGGATAATATAGCGGCGGCTAGCATGGTAGTTGCGGTATATGATTGGGTTGAGAGGAGGTCTGAGCAGTTTGATTTGCCGCAGCAAGGGCTCCAGCGAAGAAGTCAGCGGGTTCGTTTCTCACTTGGAGGTAAGGTCCCTGTTCATCCTAAACTACCGCCACGATTGAGGGAGTCACAAGGACAGTCTAGAGGCATTGTATTTTGGCCAAGAGATGGAGGCGACTTAAGGTCGGATCAAGGCGATGAAGGAAGAAGATGAAGTGAAGGTGATCTGACCCCCTCCTGAACCGCTGGTGGTGAGTGAAGATTTTTTTTTTTTGCTTTTTTTTGGCCAATTCTTTCTAACCTATATATTATCTGCTCAATGTTAATGCCAACATCCTTGAACTGGGATGAGATTTGAACCTGTGACCTTCTCCTTGGGAGTGCCACAGTGATGTCATCAGACCACAAGATATTTGGCTGCTTTTATTTATTTTAATGGTATGAATCTGTCTATGTTTGTTGTTTTATCTCTTTCGATTGTAAGATTGTGGTTTTGAATTTGGACGTGGGTGATGGAATGACTGTGGTAACCGTCTTTGACTCATTTGTGCCCATTAATGGATCAGCGAGTTATATCGCTGAGGCGATAATCTCTGAGTCTGGTTCGAGAGACGGTGGTTGTCAGGAGTTGTTTTGTCGGATTACCCACTATCTAAAAACAACTCTCGATTGTAAGCCAACTCTCGATTGTCGGATTACCCACTATTTAAAAAAATTATGATTGACAATTCTGCTAGATATTATGTCGTTAGAACTTAGAAGGATTTATATGGTCAGTGATTGCTGTGTCACACTCACTTAGTGGTTAGCGATTCATATTACTCTTTTAAGGATTGTCTCTGAGTCTAGCCGTAGAGTTGATATTGCTAATTGGTTAGGGATAGTTGTTGTCAAGGTTGATCTTTGAATTTGTTGTAACGATCCAATTCTTAATGATAATAATATAAGCAATTTGTTTTGATGATAAAAAATAAAGTATTTACTCCATTATGAGTTTAATGCACCAAACCACCTCGTGATATGGAAATTCAACCCATTAGCCTTTTGTGATTTGAAAAATGCGTCAAACCCCCTTGTGTTTTAATTAATCATGTACAAAACCCCTTTTATGAATAAATTTAATGATTTGAAAATCATTTTTCCTAATATTTTAATTGAATATGCAAGTAAATATGTCAAAATCTCTAAATCATACATAAATGTTAATCATTTTTCTTTTATTTGACAGTTGGATTTGTTCATAGAAGGGATTTTGCGCATAATTAATTAAAACACAAAGGGGTTTGGCGCATTTTTTAAATCATAGGGGGCTAATGCGCCGAATTTCTATATTATAGGGGTTTGGTGCATTAAACCCCTCCATTATAGATAAATCTCCCTATTTTTCTTCTCCGCACGTCTGATTTTATTAATAAAAAAACAAACGCAAAAGGGTTAAAGGGGAAGAACATACTCCGTATAAACCAACGCTTAGTTTCAATCCTCTAAGGATCATATCCCTGGCAGATACAACAAAAGCAAAATAAGGAGAAAGGGGTCACCAATACAATTTAAGATGAATAGAATCAACAGAGCTACCACAAACGTTAAAAGGAAAGGAGCTGAAGCACCAAGGCAACTCAAAGACAAGAGAAACCTGCCAAAATTACTAAAGAGCTGGTAAAACCACCATATTGTTTTTTTATCGATCACCATATTGTTGAAAATAAGGTTTTTCCAAAATTACTCAACTAAAATAAAACTTAATTACACAAACATAACTAATAGTTACTACAATACAATATCATGGCCACTTGAGTTTAAAAATTGAATAATAGATATTGTAATTAAGTTACTTCTATTCTATACTCGATCACTAATCACATTTTTGTAAATAAACTTTATTTTAATCATAAATCAATATATATATAAGAGAAACTTTTTAAGAGCACACGGCGTGCCACATAATCCTGTCATGTCATCATATATAAATATTATTTAATTATCTTTTATACCTTTTATTTTTTTATTACATTCTATTTTTTATTGCATATTGATATGAAAATAAAATACCGTAGGATAGAATCCACTTTATTTGGTAACTTTTTCAAAATCTATTACGTACTCCGTATTAATATGGATAGTTACTAAAATAAGCAATTGCAATCACAACAATAAATAGCCATCCGTACACAGAGACTTTATTTTATTTAATTATTTTGATTACATTCTATTGAGAAGTGAATTATCCTTGTTTTTCCCACCTACCAGATAAATCGTCCAAATTCCTATTAATTTTGTTCTTCATAGTTATTTTATAAAAAAAAAGTAATATTAGTGTTCTATTTCCTAAAATGTAATATTTTATTTTTCTAAACTCAATTTTTTTGAATGTTTTCTAAACTCAATGTGATAATGACTAAAACTATAAGCCTTAGATTTGCAATTGTGTTAATACTTCATATTTTCAGCATCTTCATACCATTCTTTCATAGCTGTTGAGATAATGATGGAAATTATAACCACAAGATATTTTAACTTAAAAATGAAATTGATATATACTATTAGACGTTATATATGAAAACATTTAAAACTTCTGATCAAGTATCTTACCTTTATGATGATGGAAATGGAAATTCATATCATACATATGAATACCTTTACGTATACATAATATGTAGTATATTTTATTTTTTCATAATTTGGGAGATTTCATCAATTTAACCCAATCAGTTAGATTTAATTCATTAGAGTAGAGTCACACAATTTGGCCAATTTTAGTATTATCAAACATCTTTACATTAGACCGGGTTTATTTTCCTTTTGCATCACATTAAATTACACGGAGTATATGATTCTGAAAATATCAAATTTACAATTAGCTAAATGATGTACTACTCGTACATCACACGGGCTTGAAAACTATTTCAATAGTAAATAGGCAATTATGAAATAAGCTCTAATAATATACTTCGTATAAAAAAGATGATACTTTATACGGAGTAGTTTCTAATGAAAAAGCCAAAGTGAACACGTGAACTAAAAAACCCTCAATTAGTAATACTAACAGGATGTCAACCGTTAGTGTGATGATTTTAATCGAATTGAAACTTTGTGATCTGAACTGATCTAGTCTGATCTAAATTGTTCTAGTTTCGTACTTGTTATATATTATATATATATATATTTTATAACTGTCAAAATTTGATCCGATTTGTGACTGAAACCAATCCTTTTTTTTAACCGGCAAACCATCGGAGGAAGGGGTAAGAACCGGGTAACACCTTACTAATTTATTGAGAAAAGAGATTACAAAGAGAGCAAACTGCACAGGGGCCGAGCCTAAACAAAAATTTAGGAATAAGACGGTAGCTAATGACATCATATATTTTTTTAACGAAAGACATTTGGGATCGGCTAATTATAACTTTATTAAAAGCAATATATTCCATCGCCCAATTAGCACTAGCATTAATAGATCTAAAAACAAAACGATTGGAGTTGTATTGGCTTCTTATACGCGTGCAGCTTTTTCAGTGGGTCCAGTGGTGCAATATCTCTCCTCAAATAGCCGCATGAGTTATCTAATTTAATGATAAAATTAATTGTTGGAAGTTGATTGAAAAAGGTCTGAAATAAATAATGACATCAAAGGACAACAATCAGGTCCTTAGTTCGATTCAAAGCATCATATAACTAAACTAGATGGTCAACCTATTTTTGTGTAATAATTTTCTTTTCTTTTGATGGTCAACATCATTTGAAAATGGAAAGTACACCCTCAAGAAAGGTGTGGAGGTTGTATGGGTACTAGTAGTGTTCTAAAAATCACTTTGGGCGTTCGATTAGTCCTTGTCTAGGTGCTCGGCGGTGGCCCCGAATTTAGTCTAGGCTTCCCAAATAATTGGTTTATCACCTAAGTGAATTAGTTTGTCGTCCAAGGCGCCTACTTGCCTCCTTACATTCCCTAATCAATTGCCTAGGGCGTCTAGATTCATCAACCATTTTTTTCTTTTCTTTTATTTTTCTAAATGATATATGTACCTTTAACTTTAACCACGGATATGGAGAATGTAAGATGTAGATTAAGGCAAAAATTATACGGAGTATATGTTTGTATATATTCTTAAATTATTACTACGTATTATTTAATATTCATTACATAATGTATCAGATGACAACACAATAAGAAAATTATTACAATGTGAAGTTGTGTAACTCGGGATGGAGTATCTGTCATATCCTTTATAAGCCAAGTTGTGTAGTGTTCAAATTTTCATGTCATTCAGATCATCAAGTCATCAACACGTACTCAAAATATGCAGTAACCTTGAGCGGATAAACCATTCAAAACTAACAAATCGTGGGTTAAGAACTGAACAATTTCTAGTTCCTACCATCATCTCAGATTATGAGATATCAAAAGTCAAAACGGCGGATATGACTGAAATTCGAAAAACTACATGTACTGATGTACAATAAGCTAGTTTTGTGACTTTGTCATCATGTTTGTCATCATGTTCAAAGGCTTTTTTTGTGTATGGAATATGGCAATATGCCTTTTTAAAAAGAAAAGATCCGACCACCAGAGAATGATGTAACTAGATATGGTTTTCACAAAAAAACATCACTCGATCAATATGATTATTATTCCACCCATTGGAATTGAGGTAGACGTAACAAAAGCATGAGATATGTTGGATCGTGTTGAAAATAACATCAAAAACAGAATGGTGAATATACAATATGCATAACATAAGCAAGAGGAGACTTCTCATTCAAAGAGACTGTTGCTATGTAAATGTACACAAACCTCGCATCGACCCACTCATATTGAACACAATGGTGAATGAACAAACGGACACGCCTATAGAATACAAAGAAAACCTCAACTACCCACACCGCTCTAAGCTTTGTATGAAGCAGCATCTATGGGTGAGGATTCATTGGGCCCTACATCTACAAACATAATTACAAAATACAAACAACCAGAATTTCTTCTCAAACCAGCATTAATAATTCGTTTTCAGTCCTCACGGTATCCCCTATAGGTTATCACTCCATTTTATCTATGTGCATTTGATAGTAGAGAAAGGACATCATGATCATTGAAATTTGATTCCATGGCAAGATCAATGGGGGTTTTACCGTCCCCATTTACAGCATGTGGGTCAGCTCCCCTGCGGTAACATCACAATTTACAGTTCAAATACTTTTTGATCAAGTAAAGAGTACTGCACTTGGAAGAGTAGCTAAGTAGTTATATATAGATCATAAGTGAAAGCAATAAATATTTGCAAACTTTCATTTCAAGACCATATTATCAGTTAACTAGAATGTCTACTTTGAATATGCTTCTTTCTTCAGCCCAAACACTAGGGGAATTTTCGGGAAATGGATTTTGTAGGGGAAGGCTTTTATTTTCAAGTACACTAAGAGAATTATACTTATATTTGGTTTACGGTAATGAATACTTCCACCACCCTATAAAATGAGTCATGATTGCTAAAGGTACAATTTTTTGTCTAAGTAAAACTAATATAAGTCATAATTATAATTTAGTAACTTTTTAAATAGTTTGACTAAATTAATCACATCACACATATCTGTTACTTTATTTAGGCAAATTTCTTGAAAGGCTCTTTTTAAAAGACACTTTCTTGAATTACTTTATCATGTCTTCATTTGATTTAAAAGACTCTTTTTGGGGACAAAAAGAACCTTAATGAGTCCAAATGAAAGTGGTGGACCAAAACTAAGTAATACATAGTAGTATACAGCCAAGGGACCAATAGGATGTTACTCATGTTAGCAGTAATGCAAATGCTAAAAAAGAATTCAAAAGAAGTATGATAATAATGACCTATATGGCATATTGGTGGAACTAAATCAAGAGTTGACGAATAACAGATCTTATACCTTGTAAGCAGCAGCTTAGCGAATGTGGCTTTGTGCCTTAAAATACACTGATGCAATGGTGTCCAGCCTCTCAAATCAGTAGCATTTACATTTGCACCATACTGAAGCAACAGTTCCAGCATTCCTATGTCTCCTGTTTCACAAGCCAGGTGTAGCAGGGAACACCCACCAAGATCTGTTGATTGGTCGAGGCATTCTTCACTCTGAGTTGCACCCACTTTTAAAGGTTTCTCATCATCATTGACACAAGACTGTTCTTGCAACAACATTACTTTGGCAAGAGTAAGTGAGGAGGAGTTCAATAACTGCTTGCAAATAGCATTAACGTCTGCATCAGAGTTGACGATGAGCCGATACACGCCTTTCTTATCATTAGAACGGACAGCCTCCCACATCTGTTGTGCTATGAGCCGATGGTCTTTATTTTTCCGGACAAACATTTTCTCTGCATACTATTAATTAAAATGCCAAAGTTTTAAATTACGCAACGAACAGTATGCAGGGATAAAAACAAACTTGGGGAGATGTTTTAAGAACAGCATGAGAGAGTACCTTTGCATGAATAAATTTCTCCTTGGTTGATATTGGATCACCCTTACTTGGCTTGCTTATGTAAAGTTGCTGCTGTTTATCAGACTTGTACAAGCTTCAATTTCAAAACTATTGTATTAGCAAAAGAGAAGAAAACTGAGGTGGGGATTAAAGTGAACTATAACTCAGTTGTGAAATGAAGAATTGTTACCTTGAAGGACCAAGGTTAACCTGAAAGGCACCTCTTGATTGAAGTGACTCTTCCCAGACTGAGTTCACAAATGCATTTCCCAGAGACTCAAACAAAGACAATACAGAAGGTTCCCATACTCTAACATCAAGAGTCAGTGATCTTACCTGCATGCACAGCCACAAGAGACAACCATCAGCAATGCTTAAAACTTACTGAAATCTAGAGAGCACCTTGGCATGATTCCAAAGGTTATCACAGACCTAGTAAGCAAAACTTACATGATTAGCCAGCCTAGTTTTGACTACTTTCAACTCTACAGCCCTGGAGCTAAAAATGTGAATTAATTAAAAACCTAGCTGAAATCCCCATTCATGGCATCGGAACACCAGAAATACTTCACTAGAAGTCTAGAACACCATATAAGGATGTCAAGAAAGTCAAAGCTCTGTTAGTTAATTCAGAAAACTGTGAATTTGTAGCAGAACATAAAGTCAGAACTACAAACCTCAAGGGCACAAGAATATAAAACAAAGTTGACACTAATAGAAGCAAAAAAACAAAGTTGGGGACCAACAATATGTCCACCGAACCAGTTTTATAAATATGAAATCCACGAGTTCGCTTTCGCAGGCTAGTGGATAACTGAATACACTATTTGACAATTTTATGCATTCAACATAAATAACTTGTGAATATACCACTTTAGATACACACAAAATTTAAAGTGGATAGAAAAAATAACAGAACCCTTTAGATTCACTCATGTAAATAGCTGTGTGGATAGGAATATAATAATAGAACCATTTGGTGTGCTTTGATAAGAGGTGATGGTCATAAGATTGAACAGGTGATGGAACTATATATGAAGGCTTTTAACCTTGGATATATGAACACCAAGGTTGCGATGAACGCCTGAGCATTCAATACAGACAAGAACACCAAGATTCAAGGATGCCCAATCAGGTTCAGTGGTACCACAATCAGCACATTTGTCATTCCCGCATACTTTCCGTAACGTCTCTATTGGCTGTTCAGCTCTCAAAGCAATCTGTAGCTGTTGTGAGTTTCTCAAGGGGCGCTCATGGGAAGATGCAAGTCTATCGGATGCATGTTCATCAACGGTTGTAGGATCAACATCATAGCTATCAAATGAGCTGCTGTCACTTGCAGATCTATGATGAGTGCCACCACCCATTGGACTAGCAGGAAAACGCTGCAAACAATACCAAAAAGACCGTAAATATGCAGAGTGAGTTTGTGGCTACTGTTATACGGTAGTATATTCTGTGTAGCTAGATTTACCCTATCAGGAGCCTGAGAACTCAGCAAAGAAGCAATAACACCAGTAATCTTCTCAATCCAATCCATTTGATCTAGGGCACTCTCAGCCTGCACCCAAGCGGAGAAAAAGTTTAATTTCCATATCCCGCACAGACCAACTACATGCCAACACAACAATAACACACCTGCAACGTGTAGCTTTTTGTTGGCGAGATAATTCTGAAGCAAAACCGCAGATCCGACTGGTCAGCATCAACCTTTATTGTTGATGTTAAGAGATTTACAGTGTGATGAGCAACAGACTTCTCATCATGCACCCCACCATGATGATGGGAAGAAAGCCAGCGACTCAACAGTCCAGAACCAAGCTCAGAACTATTCCTCTGGGTGGATATTTGACTCCCAGACCCCTAATGAAAAAATATGTATAAATTCAATGGCAATAAGAGTAGGAAGGACCCAAGTGAGCTAGACTTAAAGCTTTTCTGCAATTCTGGCTGCATGTTACTCACAGATGGTTTGGTATTTTGTTTTCGATAGTAATACAACATTCCTCGACTATCAAGAACAAAAAAGCGCCTTTTCCAGTCACCTCTCAAGTTTGAAGAACGTTTTGAAAGATAACCTTGTCTAATGGTCTCAACCTGAAATTTTTCCAGATGTTAAATGTCTAGAGTACAAATGGACGAAAAGCATAGTAAACCAGTACAAGAGAATGAAGCAATAAGAAACATCTCCTTAGAATCATTTATATGTGTTGTAGATAATTGGTAAATATCTAACCTTCCCCCTTGTTGCAGATTGCATAACTGCTTCTATCTCCTTATGTGAACTTCTACCAATGGCTTGTATACCATCTCCATTAGGCGATGGGGATCCATTAGAACCACCTGAAGACCACCTGCTCTCTCGGTCGATTTGTCTCTTGTATTCTTGCATTTTTTCATTAAGAGCTGCTTGTTCATAGTTAGATCGTTCTCTAGATTGTCGTGCATATGTCAATACCTGAAACAGAGAGAATTTGATGTGTGGCTATGACATACCAAAGTAACACAAGCAAGTACTCAATCATTCATGAACCCAGGGTCCATCAAGCCACAAGTCTTCTTTCCAAAAAAATCAAGTACCCAAATTTATTCCATCTCAACTCTTGTGGCTCATTATAAGTTACCAGATGAGAACATTAAATAAATGACTAATCACCCAACTGATGGATCAGATTGGTTTGGATAGGTAAAAATAAGATAACATCGTGATATTGCTAAGCCACTAATAAGCTCAGATAACAGGAACTCTAACTAATGATGTTTTTACTTGGACTATTTTCAGTCCTAGACCAGACCAGACCAAACCAGACCAGACTTGACTTCTGTAGTTATAAAATACCCAGAGACCAGACATTACCAGACCAGACATTACCAGACCAGACTAGTTCAGTTCAGACCAGACCAGCAAATTACAATCTAAGTAAAAACATCCCAAGTACGGTGTATAATTATCAAACTTGGAATAACTAAAAGACAACATAGCACAAACCTGATTGATGTAGGGCTCCATTTGATGCAAAAGCTCATACCCCTATGTGTATAAATGGCAGTAAGTGAGATCTCAGAAACAATGTCAGTGGCCAAAAGATGACGAGAGATATCATACTCAATAATCAACCTGTTTGAAGTAACGGAGGTGGGCATCCATTGTGCCACTAACTGCTTCTAAGAATTCAAACCTTTTCTTTGCTTCAACATTTGAAAGTGCAGTCACCTGGATAGTAAGCATCCAAAATCAATTTGCAAGAAAATTTATTTTTTTTTCAGAATAATTGGAGCCAGTATGATCGAAATGCAATATGGTAGATTGGTAGTGACAAGTATACCCACCAAGTTGAACCGTGCTTGCTCAAAGGATGACCTTGCATTATGAAGTTCCTACACCGATTCCATGACATGTTAAAGTCTATAGGGAAAGAACTTAAATACAGCAGCCTTTCATACAAGCAATGAACAGAGCAGGCTCATCATAATACCTCCTCTAACATGCTTGCTATATCACTTTTTGTGCCTTTCCTTAGTGACAAAAACTTATCACGAGCCTGTAACAAGAACTGCATCTTAACTTTCCCACTCTTGGTAACAATGACTATTAAGTTAACATTCTACAAATAAAACACTACTCAAAATGCAAATAGATTACTTGATCATATAGAATGCTAGCCTTGTCAAAGCGCTTTCGAGCTTCCTGCACTAACAGCAACCTTTAGTAAAACTTACTATGAAATTTGTACTAAGAAAGTACATCACTAACTGTCAACTTAGACCCACAAGTATAGAAAGCATAATTATGATTAGCCAGTCACATTTACAAATAAACAGACCAAATATTTCATTCAATGATAAGCCGCAGATGAAAACAAAGAATCATAAAGCACTTGAAAATTGAAAAAATCAAAAGATAACATGGATAGTACTATAGCCTGTAGAGATAGTTTATGAAAAATCATTTTCGGGAACTCAAAGACAAAATATAACCCGAAAAAGTATTGAAAGAACATTATTACCTTGACATCATGCAAATCTATGTTAACAAATTGCAACAATCGATCATTCAACAAGTGCTCAACCTGAAATGACAATATAGAAGAACATCATGTTTTAGTTCCTCTCTCTTCTCAATGCCAAGTCTGTCTATGTAGGGAAATATGGGAGAGAAAAGAGACAAAAATTCAAACTATTTACATGAAAATGATATTAAAAACACTAAAAATGCCAATAAAAGCTTTTGAAAATGCCACATGAGAAAGATTCTAAATACACTAAAAAGTAAAAAAAAAACTAAGAAGGTATTTATGAATGGCATCTTCACTAAACTATGACTTGATTCTTCAGCATTACAGATTTAAAGCAGATATTTAATAGTAGCTTGACAATTCCTTAAACAATGACTTGAATCACTTGATTATTCATATTTATGAATTTACCTGAGACCTAAGAACTTCTTTGTATGTTCCAATTTCCCTGAGCGCAATAGTGAATTTAGTCATAACAGGACCTACAACAACAGATTAACTCATATCAGTGCATGTAGTGCTTGAATGGAACTCATCACATAAACTTTCCAACAATATAAATATAATATTTTTATTGTAAGATTTTGCCCTTAATGGGAGTAAAAACGTTTTGGAATTGCAAAATATGAGCACTATGTTTTTATTAGCTAAATAGGAGTAATTAGTGCCATTTTTGGAAAAGCTGCCAATTATGGCAGCATACTGCCATATTTAAAGCCTTATAATGCCAAAACATGGCAGTAAAATTTCAGGATGGCGATAGTGTACTATTCAGTTCATACCCTTCCTTTCCAATTTGTTATTATTATTATTATTATCATTATTATTATTATTATTATTTATTCAAGTGCCAACAGTAAACTAAGTTGTACCTCCAAAAGCAACACTGATAGGGTCATTGTGCCCCCCACCAAAAGTTTCCAGAGCACTTGCAAAAGCAATATCGCCATCATATCCCTCTCCAAGCCCTTCCCTGCAATTTTAAGACCAGAATGCTAAAATGAATACAAGGAAGTCAATCATGCAGCAATTGTTACAGATATAGGAATACATGGTTTAGACCAGCTCTGAAACAAACCCTTCCAAGTAGTTCCAACAAACATTTAAACTCTGACTTCTACGCTAACTACTAAGACTTAGAAGGGAAGGAAGGGTACAAACTTGACCAAAAGGTATAAAAGTAATATAACACATCTCTTGCATGAAAAGAATTTCAAAATTTCTAAATAATTTTGGGTTCAATTCATGTTAGCCGGCCCCAAAATCTTTGGGGACTAAGGCTTGGATGTTCTTCTTGTTGTTATAAATAATTAGTGATAAGCATATCCTCTCCACACAAAAAGGCATCAAGGGGTCCATTCAGAACTCAGTTGCTGAAGATTACATGTCCCATTGCATATGAACGGATGATAAATTTCCCCTTATCTTTATTTTCTAAAGCAAAGTGATAAGTATTAAGTCTAATTTGACACTCCAAAAATTAAGTCTTTAGTTATGAGCAGAAAAAGAATACATCATGCACACTTAGCAGAACTGTAGAAAATGACAAGAAAAGAAATGACAGTAATCAAACAATTATACTTTCACTATATTCCATGTAATAGACACATTTGAAATTATATCTGACAGTTCATTTTCCCCTTCGACTGGCTTAACAACTAGCTATTAAGCGGCTGATCATCCTGGTCCAGCTTGGATGAAAAGAAAGATATTGTCAATGATGAAAACCCGACCCAATTGGTCTTAGTTACTCTTTGGGGCGAAATAGAAGAAGGGAGGTGATTATATGATCTGCTGAATACATGATGTCAAGGAATCAATTTTAAATGCAAAGTAAAAAAAGTGTGCTGTATAAGCAGAAGAATAGAGGTGCAACCATTCAAATGATAAAGAATATCTTCTCGAAAACAATGAAACATAGCATAAAGAATACATACAACTTCAAAAATAAGAGACCTGCTGAATATTGAATAATTTCTACTCACGTATATTTTCGGCATCCTTTATAAAACTTCAAACTTCTATCTCTCAAAGATTCAGCACTTTCCTCCATGCTTTGCAGCTGTTTGTTATAAAAAAGGTATAAGATGATACATTGAAAATCAGAGTATAAGTGTGCGGTGTACCACACCCCAAAAAGGAAAAATTGTCAAGAAGTTGAATGACATCCGAGATGCTAACGAACATCATAATGCACACAGAAGAAACGTCATTTCAAAGGAAAAAATTAGGCTTAACCCAATAACTCATAACAGAATGACAACATTATCCAAGTGATATTGAATAATGGGTGAGAATAATAACAAGACCTGATGTAAACATTCTATCTTTAAAAATGCATGACATATTTGTAAACAAATGCATCATCCTATAATTATAAATCACATGTCATTCCTTAACAAGGTGATTCACATAGACTCTGGCAAGAGTTCTACATTTGAGCTCCTTGTATTGATATTTCTTTCATTAGATTCCAGGATGATGAGTTAATGTGAAAACATCGTTGATCAATGCGTCATCATAAGATGACGAGTTTATTATGTCATCCCAAAAGACATGCGAGAAAAATCCAAATAATAATAATATAAAATAAACAGAAAACATGGGAATCGTCTAAACTACGAGGTGATCGAGCAAACAATAGACCAAGAAGAGAAATAGAGCTGACCTGTTTACGGAACATAGGAGAATCATCGAGCTTAGCGAAAGTCATGTTTGAAAAACTGATTTAACGCCTTCTTGTCTGCATCAACTCTTAATAAAAAGGCCCAAATTCCAACCTCCTAGCTCAATGCAGGACTAAGATCTGTCATCTTTCTCCCCGATCTTCCACCACGTGAATCCCAGAAGCGCCCTCCTTCACCGGCCGTGAATTACACTGAATTTATAATTTTAAGGAAAAAAACAAATAAAAAATTAAAAATTCAATGAAGAAGACAAAACTGAGCTGGGATTTAGCTGGTACAAGACCCAAGAAATGAAGCATAAAGTTAGAAAAAACCCTAAAATGTCAGGAATTGAATCGGAATTATGTGCAGCTGCTTGATTTAACGCTGGGTAATACTATTGCGTATTATTAATTTTATGGATGTTTAAAGTATCCTAAGAAACAGAGGATTTTTGCAGCAGAAAATGTAAAACAATGTGTGCAGTGCGAGAGTGAGCTCACAGGAGACAGACAGACATTGTTAAAAGACTCGTTTCGGAGCTTTTCCTTCGTATTCTTCTACCTTTTGTTTTTTCTTACTCCCCTATTGTTTTTTCCTTGAAACAAACTTTTAAATATTTAAGGAGAAAATCAAGATGTATTATTCAAATACTTGTCATGTTTTTTTTGTATTTATATGGGATCGAAATAAGTAATGGTAGTATGTTTCCATTTACACTAAAAATTTAAATATGGTCTCTACTTATTTATTTAAGCTACTCTTGTACTCCTCCATATTTAAAAGATGATCACTGCGTTAAGTCTTAGGCTCTTAGCACAATATTTAAGGGGAGAGAAATAGTAAAATTAATGAATAGTGTGTAAAAAGTACTGAGTATGAAAGAGAATATTAAAAATAGTTTACCTATTTAGAATTTAAATTTTATATTGTGAATGGGCATTTTTCTTATATCCATTCTATTATGCCATGTTTTATATTTAAAAAAAAAGTAATTAAAATGGGGCTAAATTACATCGATGTGAAACTCTTCCGTTTTTTTTCAAAAACAATGTATTCCTAGTATTATCCTATTGTCCGTGTGACCGTGTCCAACTTTGACCACCAGATTCTACCTAAAAAAATTGTTCGAATAAAATGATACGAGAAATTGTGAATAGAGGCAACTCAGACGTTGGTGGTCATTAGCAATAACATGCAAACATTAACCATTTCATCTCTTTTTTAAATGGAAATGGTTTACATTGACATAGGGGTGGACCGGGTCCGGTCTGGTTCAGGGTCGGGCCCGGCGGGTTTGGAATTTTTTTGGTAGGGTCCGGGACTAGCCCGGAAGTCTACTGGTACCGGGGCCGGTACCGGTTCATTTTTTTTTCTTATTTAATCCAACCCCCCACCCCCAGGCCCAAACCCCGCCAAAACACCCAGCGTCCCAGCCTAGCCCGCCTGCCATAGGCCCAAAGCCAAAAAAACCCAAAAAAGGCTTCGACCGGGCCCGGACCGGTCGAGCCGGTACCCAAAAACCACGTCCCGGACCCGCCCCCTTAAACTCCCTCGGCTCGAGCTCAAGTTTGGCCGATCTCGATTCGAGCTTTGACCGAGCGGCTCGGCTCATTTGTACCCCTAAATGTCTGATTCATGTGTATCTTATAACGGTCAAAGTCTGACATGGTCTATTTAGGATGTTTTTTACTTGGACTGTTTTTAGTCCCAGACCAAATCAAACTTCCATAGTTATAAATATATAGAGAGCAGACATTTATCAGACTAGACCAGACCAGTTTAGACCAGACCAAACTTAAACAAACCAGACCAGATCAGACCACACCAACAAATTTCAGTCCAAGTAATAACATCCTTAATTCTAGTTTTCCCTACGTTCTAATTTGTAAGACACTTTAGGGTTTACGATGTTTGACCGATGATAAAGCAAACAGATCTCTGTCCGCACTCAAATTGTTTTTAGAAAAAAAATACATATTCAGAAACTACATTAAAAGTTTTACAAAGTCACAAAAAACAGAATCAAATTTGATAAAAAAAAATTGATATATAAAGTAAGAGATCAAAGATCATTTGTTATGATTAAGTGAATAGAAAACATGTCTTACAAATTGGGATTGAGAGAGTATGATCTATTATGGTTAGATCTAGTCTGGTCTGAAATAAGCTCGAGTAAAAACAACCTAACTAGTTATCTGTCAATAAGCTCTATGTTTTCTTTTTAGGGTGTTCAAAATACTATTATGGTTAGTCACAGTTTTATGTGAGTCATTTTGATCGTATTGTGGAGAACTCCTTTAATTCTACTTTTTTTAAATGAGAATGGAAAATAGAACTTTTATTGCATGATAAAGTCATTAAAGTGATTGTGTTTAAAGTGTTTGTTGTTGATTCTATCGTACATAATTGAGAATCAATTTAGGCTATATGTACAAACTTGTTATTGCAAATTGTTTTTAATTACTAGAAAGTAGAAATGAATCAAAAGACTAATATCATGTGGTATGTGTCTCATATTGATTAATAAAGTATATCAATATCATGCCAGATTAGATTACGTGAAGATAGGCTTTAAATAATCGGGTGTGCATAAATTAATAGCGTAGAAAATCTATCCCTAACTAATTTGAGGATATTTGAATGCAAATATAGAAAATGCACTAATGTTTTGATAAATTGCGTCTAGTTCTCAGTTCTCACTCACATAGGTGACATGGTTGGGGTTTTATAGGGAGAGTAATGTTATACTAGTACTTCAAACACACTACCAACATATTATAATTTACATTACATGTACATGCTTAAAACAAGTGTCAAAGTGTTCAAGAAGAGACTTTTTTATGACATAGCAACAACAAGATGATGAGTCGTGACGGATGTGCAGGATCGAGGCTGGTGACGATGGGTGACCCTTAGGAGATTGGAGCATAAGTTGGATCTCATCATCAACTGAAATTAAAGGAGCCGTTAGGAAATCTTCTACTCTTCTTTTTCAAGGTTTCACGCATCACCGGATGGCGACCAGCGATAATTTCTGGCGCCGAAAGTAGGGAACGAACATTAGAGGGGAAGGTGACGACACGAAACCATGGAAGCCAAAGCGTGGCAATAAAGAAAGTAAAAAAGAAAAGAAAAGGAGAACAAAAAATGATGAAAGAAACAAAATAAACTGGCTACCATAGGTCATCTTCCGGTCATTTGACTGAATTGATCGTTTTATAGGAGTATATAGATTTATATGATTGGTTTTTTAGTACATGGCCTGGACTTAAGTGATCATTATGTGATAGTAAAAGGGACTATTTGACTCTTTTTCCCTCTATTTATTTCACATTTCACTTTCTTTTTAGGACATTTCCAAATTACTCCCACTTTTTTTGGAATTTAATCTACTCAAAAGAATGATACAATACACATTTTAAATGTGTAAATTAATCTCTCAAAAAAGTGTAAATTATTAGTACAGTATCCAAAAGACATTTTTCACACCTTTACAAAAACTTTCACGTGAAAGGGAGGGGAGTAACCACCCCTCCAAGAACAAGGATGTTTTTACTTGGACTGTAATTTGTTCCATATTAGACCAGATCAAATCAGACTGGATAGTTATAAAAAATACAAAGAAATCAGACATTATCAGACCAGGCCAGTTCAGATCAGATCAGAATAACAAATTACAGTCCAAGTAAAAACATGCAATCATGAATTTTACATTTCATTTATAGAACAATAAGTTCATGACTGGCACGACTGAAATAAAGACAAAAAAGAGTGGATGGGGAGAGAGAACAGTAAGAGAGGGGATGGGGAGAGAGAATAACAAGAGACTGACGAAAATGAAAGATGGTTGTTGCCTGATGTTCAAGATCCGCTCGATAAGAACTAAAGAAAGAAAAGGAGATGGGGAGAGTGAATCGCAGCAAGAGAAAATTAAAATCTATATCGAATTTTAAGGATTTCTTTGAAACTACCTAACAATAAGCAATGCAATGGCTACTAGCAAATCTCTCTTGCGAAGAAAAGAACATTGACCTTGTCAATATGACTCGATTTCTAGAATTCTAGCCTTAACCCATTTCGGAAGCCATTGTTAATCACCCTTTCACACAATACATTCAGCATTTTATGGCAATTTATAATAGCATAAAAGGATCTTTCTTTGAATGCAAGCCTGCAAGGTGTTTGATTGAGCACCCCTTTCCCAAAATCCTGCTAGATTTTTTTATTCAATTATGATCCACAGAGGGTATCAGCTCGAGAGAATTAGAAAGAAGGATTATGCATTTACCATATAAAGCATTAAAGAAGAACCATTGAACAATGGAGGATAACTCAGGAGCCCCAGGAAAAAACCATGGAACCACCATTCGTCGGCGCTATCTAGCCAGAGAATTCGGTTCCAGGTTCAGGTCACCCATTGATCTATCTGTCAGGCGTAGCCTTTCCCCAAATCTCAGGCAGGCCGAAGTGGTTTCAGTCGGTGAAAAAACATTACCTGGGGCATTGTCAGATCATGTGTTGAAGCAATTAGCAGACGTCATCCAGAATGCGACGGAACCACTAAGAAAACCCTCATCTGAAAAGAAGAGAGTTTCTCTTAAGGGAAACAGTTTTGGAGATCAAACAGATAATTCTAGACCTTCAGATGCTTTTTCTGTGAATTATAGGATGACAAATCATCATAGACGGTCAAGCACGTCAGACGGGAAACATTCCTCAAAATCAATGGAAAAAGGTATTCATACGAGAAAAGAGGAAAATGTAAACACGTTGATACACCACCTCTTTCAGGATCAGAAGCACTTTCTTACAAAGACTGTCTTTGGATGCAGCTAATGGACCAGCCCAAGATGAATCTTCAAGACCACTACCATTTATTAGCAATGAGAAACAAGGCATTGGGTTAAACTCAGTTGATGATAATTCACTAACAATAAGGAATGGATCACCAACTGGAGGAAATGTGCAATCTTTGTCAATGACATCGAATACCAGATCATTGAGTAGTCTACACTCTGAGCTTCTGGACAGGTGGCCAGTTAGAATATGTGGGAAAGCAAGTTCTGATTCTTCAAATCGAGGTAAAATTGACATGCTTTCCAGACCACTACAGAATTTTTCGACAGAAGGTGTGAGATTTCTTTCAGAGAGTTATAGTTCAACAGACAGTTCAAATTTTCAACGGTTAAATCAGAGTAGATGGCAAAGAACAACAGGAGAGAAAGAAAGGTTTGGTTCTTTTTCAATAGATTCACGGCCATCACAAAGAGAAAAAACATCAGATGTAAATCTTGGCTCTCTATCTTGCCATAGTTCACCAATCAGAATGCCTACATTGCCTCCTTCGCCATTGCCTGTAAGAGTTAATCCATCTGACATGAAGGCTATACCAAATGGGGCATCGATCTTTTTATCTCCATCACGAGTATTGTCTTTGGATGGAGCTATTAAACCACTCCAAAGTTCATCTGGTGACATGCTATCACTAATACTATCAAATGAACGTCCAGAAAGAGACTCGGGGATTCATTTGGTTGGTAATAGTTCGATGGAACTTGAAAACAGAAGAAAACTATCACTTGATGATAATTCTTTGTCCATACTTAGGGAAAGAGCAAAGTTGGTGAATCGTGGCACTAGATCTCGTCCTACCTCGCCAAATAAAGCATCTGCACTATATGTATCTAAAGAAATCTCGTCTCAAACAAAGGCTCTAACAAGTGCTCCATCAAGAGGAGCTAGTCCTTCTAAGGTTAGGCCATCTAGCCCGTCGAGACTTCCCAATCCAACTTTCAATTTTGTGGTGAATATAAGGGAAAAAGATGAAAATCATCAAACAGAAGATGCTCATCGACTTGGACTATTACGTAATAGATATTTGCAATGGCAATATGCTAATGCGAAAGCAGATGCTGCAATACTTGCAAAGAATGTTAATACACAGGTTTGCTCTTTTTCTCAGAGTATTTCTTATTTATTCATTCCAATCTACTATTCGACCAGGTTTTAGTCTGATTCTGATTTTGGCTACAGGAAAAGGTATATAATGTATGGAAAACTGCTTCAAATTTGTGGCAAACAATCATTCAGACGAGAATTGAGCTTCAACAGTTGAGGTTAGAGTTGAAGTTATGGTCAATTTTGAATAAACAGGTAATGATATTTCTGAAATTTTGTTCCTTATAGATAGAGCCATTGTTTGTTAATGTTACTATGACTACTGTCTTACTAACGTAGTTTTGAAACTGTTTCAATGTACATCAGATGTTCTACCTCGAAAAATGGGCTACAATTGAAAGGAACCATATACGTTCAGTTCTGCGAGCTAGCCAAGATATGAAAGCATGCATTCTGCTTCTTCCCATGACATTAGGGGCAAAGGTACACAATTTCATTAATCAATATTCATTGGGAAAACTGTCAAATAGGTCCTCGAACTTTCATAAAAGGGTCAATTAAGTCCTTTTATGGAAGGTTTTGTTCGGCCGTCGCGATTTGGGGCAGTTCCTGGTGGAATTTGTTGATGAAATTTTTTGAGCATCTTATTCACCAAGTCTAGTTCACTCATACCAAATTTCAGCTAAAAATTCAATCGGGAACACATTCAAATTAATTCTTGAAGATAACTGCGTATATCTGTGTTCTCGAATTAATTTGAATCCGCTCTCGATTAAATTTTTAGCTGAAATTTGGTATGAGTAAACTAGACTTGATGAATAAGATGCTCAAAAAAATTCATCAAAAAAATCCACCGGGAACCACCCCAAATCGCGACGACCAGACAAAGTTTCTTATAGAAGGACTTAATTGACTTTTTTATGAAAGTTCGAGGACCTATTTGACAGTTTTCCCATATTCATTTAAAGTCGGTGGGTTACACAAGAAATGCATGTATACAAAATACATTTTATACTTTATCTGCTTGATATAGGGTGATGTTCAAGCTGTAAAGTCAATTGTTTGCTCAGCTTTTGTTATCATGCAGCATGTGGAATCATCAATATATTTAATGCTATCGCAAGTGAGTATCATAAATTATTCCTTGCGATCACGTCTATGATATTTCCCGATAATGTAAAAATAATAGTTTTACTAATTTCAGGTAGGCCATTTTATGATGTTTGATGTAAAAAATCCTTAGATGTTTTACTACAAATGATAGCTTTGGACATTCAATTAACAAACACGCAACTAACACCCAGGTGCTGGACTACGAACTAAATGTATAAATGTATTTTGTCGGCTAAATTACAAAATACAAGAGGTTGAATCTGAATAATCTAATTACATGAGGCATGCAATTATATGGTCTCTTTTTCTTCTTTTTTCTTTTTGTTTTTGGGGGTGCGCCGCGCGGGCCGCGTGGATGAGCCGAAGAGTTACATTTCAATGACACTGTGGTGTCAGTTGTGGTCTATGTGTGCCTGTGGGGTTAATTTTAAATAATTTTAAACACTTATTATTTACAACAAAGTATAAGTGTGCATTTAAACCTCAAAATTTATCTAATACGGGGATTTGGCATTTCATGTCATGCATGTGACAGCTGGAGGGAACAAGCTCTCTGGTTTCGGAACTTGCTGACATTGTGGCACAAGAGAGAGCCAAGCTTGGTGAATTTAAATTATTAATGGCTCCAATAGCTAAAATGCAGGTGATGTTACAAATTTGGTTGTATACATTGTCTTGTCCTGGCACCTCCTTGTCTAGTGCTAATTTTCACATCTGGTTTAGTCATATTTCACCAAATTTTCACATCTGGTTTAGTCATATTTCACCAAATTTTGGCTTTAAGAAATTCTAATAACAAATATGATTTTTCAATACATGTATTTGAGAAAGCTACTAGATATATAAAAAAGTGCTTCAAAATCATACTTTTAGAAATGTTGAAAGCAACATGTCTTAAAATATGGTCACATTTAGTTCTTGTTGATTATTGATTATTTAGAAACGGCAAACAATGACAATAATGTTGGGGAAGCTGGAGGAGAAGCATAATATATACTTAGTGTGCATAAAGTATGTTTCACTTGATTTCATGTAGTTACTTAGCTGCTTGTCATTGAACTTGAGTGAGTTAGAAATAAAAGCGAGATTACTCTGTCACTATAAGATCTGTTTGGAGCTTGGAAAATGTTTTATATATAGGGGATATTTTTGAAGGAAGAAAATGTGTGGGGGGGGGGGGGACAACATCCACTCAAACTCAATAAGATATGTAACATTTTTTTATTTTGTGTTCAGAGTCATTTTTATTTATATATTTATTTCCTTCTATTATTAAAAGACTAATAATTTTAAGCATATGCAAAAACGTTAAAACAACAATAAAATTTTATTCTCCTTTGCATTTTTAGAGGTAAAACCAATCATAAGAAAATAAATTTCTAGCTTCCCCTAGCATTTTCTTGGATTCAGACATACCAACAGTGATAAATATATAACAATGAGACAAGTCTTCAACATTTTGCATCATGGTGATGTCGTAGTCATGAAAACAGAAAGTTTGGTTTTCCCTCTCCTTTATTCATCTGTGCTATACATTAAAATATAAGTTCACATGACTATGGAAAGCATTGCAAAGTCATATTGGTTATGGACCCAATATTGGTTTCATTTATCTCAACTCATTTTTGGAGTTTTCTAATAGATACTTCTGCTTGTTTGCATGTTGTGTTAAAAGCAGGTAGAAGAATACAACCTTAGGACCTATCTTATGCAGTTGGGAAAAAGTTTGCAGAAGCGGTGAACTGGTGAGATTTGATCTTTATGTAAAAGCCACACAAAGATTGCAAGAAGTGTACATGCATGGGGATACAAGTATAATTCATGGTTTGCCTTTTGGCTTTTTTGTCCTCTAACTTACCCTTGTCATTTAAACCTCTAGTTATAGAAACTAGTTATAGAAATACCCAAATGTTGCCCCTAGGCAGAGACCATCAAGAGTTAATGAACAAATAGTAACAATAGTTTCGCCTTATTCTTCTTCCCTTCTTTTTTTTACTGTTTTTTTGCATAAGAAGATCAATGTGAATGAATAAAAAAGGTCTATAAATTACCGGAAAACACCCACATGGGTTTTATTTGGAATGAGATCTCCATGGAAGGAGTGATGAGAGAGTGTGAGGGTATTTGACCTGAAATATAAAATATTTTTGAAGCAACAAATTTCTTAGGAATGGGCAAATTATTTGCTTCTTTTTCACAAGTTCAATTCGGTTTGGTTTAAAGCAGGGTGGAGAACCGGAGATGTACAAACAGGATGCAACTCAAGTTCGTTCGGTTTACTGATAGTTCTGTTTTGTCTTCCGGGTCTTAGATTATTGTTAATGTTTTGATGTCTGTTTTGATCCATTTAGTTTCAACATGTTTCAGTTCAGTTTGGTTTAGTGACTGACGTTTTAGAATAGAATTGGTTGTAGTTGTTTTGGGGCAGATAGCAAGTCTCTTATTCACTGGTTGTTTGAGCAATATGATGGGATACGAGTACTAAATTTTCGTTTCCTTTTTCTTGGGCAAAGCTTAATGTTTGTAAACAGTGCAACAAATCTTATTATTGTTATTGTTATTGTTATTGTTATTGTTATTGTTATTGTTATTGTTATTGTTATTGTTATTGTTATTGTTATTGTTATTGTTATTGTTATTGTTATTGTTATTGTTATTGTTATTGTTATTGTTATTGTTATTGTTATTGTTATTGTTATTGTTATTGTTATTGTTATTGTTATTGTTATTGTTATTGTTATTGTTATTGTTATTGTTATTGTTATTGTTATTGTTATTGTTATTGTTATTGTTATTGTTATTGTTATTGTTATTGTTATTGTTATTGTTATTGTTATTGTTATTGTTATTGTTATTGTTATTGTTATTGTTATTGTTATTGTTATTGTTATTGTTATTGTTATTGTTATTGTTATTGTTATTGTTATTGTTATTGTTATTGTTATTGTTATTGTTATTGTTATTGTTATTGTTATTGTTATTGTTATTGTTATTGTTATTGTTATTGTTATTGTTATTGTTATTGTTATTGTTATTGTTATTGTTATTGTTATTGTTATTGTTATTGTTATTGTTATTGTTATTGTTATTGTTATTGTTATTGTTATTGTTATTGTTATTGTTATTGTTATTGTTATTGTTATTGTTATTGTTATTGTTATTGTTATTGTTATTGTTATTGTTATTGTTATTGTTATTGTTATTGTTATTGTTATTGTTATTGTTATTGTTATTGCTATTGTTATTGCTATTGTTATTGCTATTGTTATTGCTATTGCTATTGTTATTGCTATTGCTATTGCTATTGCTATTGCTATTGCTATTGCTATTGCTATTGCTATTGCTATTGTTATTGCTATTGTTATCGCTATCGCTATCGCTATCGCTATCGCTATCGCTATCGCTATCGCTATCGTTATCGTTATCGTTATCGTTATCGTTATCGTTATCGTTATCGTTATCGTTATCGGAATTGACACCAATAATATCTACTTTTACACATTTTACAAAAATAATCCCTACTTGAAAAGTTCACAACAATAATACCTACTAGTTAATTATTTTACAAAAATAAACCGAGTGCTAACGGTGTTAAGTTTTCCGTTATTTTTTTTATTTTAATTATATTGAATCGAAAATATATATCAACACTGACACTACTATATACTACGTATGAGTTTAATCTTGTTTCTACTAAAAAATTAATTTAATATTCAATATTTTTCATAAAACATAATAGAAATATTTTTCCTAAGACATAATACTCTTCCAATTCTCTATTCTCTTTCATTCCCTATCCATATTTTATTTAGATTCATTTTTGTTATTCATTATAATGGGAATTTCAAAGTAGTTTTAGTAATAATACATTGAATATTAATACAATTATGTAGAATATGGGATTAAACTCAAATATATTAGTTTATCGTAGCAAAAGATTAAAATCAAATATAATATTATTAATTTTTATACATATTTTTGGTTTGATATATTCAAAACTTAAAAAAAATCACAGCAAAGCTAACACCGTTAGCACTCAGGTTATTTTTGTGAAACAGTTAAATAGTAAGGATTATTTTTGTGAAATTTATGAATAAAGATTATTTTTGTAAAATGTGTAAAAGTACGGATTACTGGTGTTAATTTCGCCATATTAAAATTCCAAATTTATGTAAATGTGATTGTCCCATTATGATTGTCACATTTTACCATTTCGGTCCGTCCCACTAAGTTTATCTCATACCTTATTTGGTAAAGGTTGTATGGTTCTAAATCATTCCTACTTTATTCTTACTTTATCAATTCAATATCAACCACATAAAACTACTTTTGTTAATAACCGAGACACTTTCTCTTGTCCCAAACATAGAGGGACGGAGGTAGTAATTTAATGTAATGATTAGACACTTTCCTCGAAATCCAATTAACAAAAGGGCAAACGGTCATTTCAAAACTTTATACACTCTGTCTTCTATGTTGTTGGGCTGGACTGAATATCTTGGCCTGTTGAACTTGTTTAGATGTTTGGACGGGTAAAACTCCAAATTTAGGGGTAAAAAAAGCATAAAGCCAAACAGGGCCGTAGTAGGAGGATAGGAGGTGCATACCCTGCATATGAAGGCGGTTCTAAGCTTTTATTACATCTTTATAAATACGAATAAAAACTATGAAAAGCAAGCTCAGAAACGTTTCATAGATCAAAACTCCTCACAGTAATTTGAGTTTACCTTACAGAATCAAAGAATGGCTTCGCCTTCATCAGATCCCATGGATGATGGCAGCTTCAGAGCTCGAGTTCACAAGGTATTCAGCTCGCTATCTACGCCGCCGTCTTCGAATTCGCCGGCGCTGCAGCCGCTGTGGTCTCTCACAGACGACGAAGTGGAGAAGAGAGATTGGAAGCGAAGCAAAAGTAAACCAGGTAAAGACGATGACAGTACCCTCTGTTCGTCTTCGTTCGATGGTATGTTCAAACGAAATCGCGATGGCCTTCCTAAAGGGTGTGTTGACGCCGATGATCTTAGTGGAGAGGAAGACGGTGAAGGTGAAAAGAATGGGTTCGTTGACAGAGATGATCTCAGTGGAGAGGAAGACGGGGAGGGTGAAAAGCAAGGGTTCGACGAAGACATCGAAGTTCTTAGTGGTGAGGATGATGGTGAAGATGCAGATGTTCTGGAAATCAGATCCTCGATTGGTTTGGATTCAACCCTAGATAACGAGGTATACTTCACTTCTCTTACTGCTTTGTTGGTTTCCAATTCCTCTTTTATTGACCTAATATACTGTGTAGTTTTAGGTATTGCAGGCTTAATAGTTAATAGTTTTAGGAGTAATATGTTGGGTTATACTACGTATACTGTATATCTTGTACAGCTCATCTCCCTGTTAAACAATGTACCAAAATATAATGTTTTTTACATCATCCAAAATGTGTTTGGAATAAGATGGGAAACATGTGAACATAATATTTGTATACTAAAATTATAAATATAATTGATAGATAATATGAATATTTCAAAAATAGTTTATTACTCCCTCCGTCCCAGAAAATTCTTCCTAGTTTGACTTGGATCGGAATTTAAGAAAGTGGGAATAAAGTGGAAATGTGTGGTTGTAGTTGTGTAAGAAAAATGTGAAATGAATGTGAGCCACACAAATAATCAAAAAGGTGAAGTTGGAAGAATTTTTTGGGACGTCCCAAAAAGGAAAGTTGGAAGAATTTTCTGGGACGGAGGGAGTAGTATAATAATAGCAATAATAATAGTAGAGTTATGATTATTAATGAATAATTAATAATAAAATAAAATTGTAAGACAAAAATGTTACAAGAGTAAAGTATAAAAGAAGTTAAAGAAAATTTCAATCACACCTGCCAAGTTGCCCAGGTGGTGTTTCATTCGTATAACTGAGCGTGTGTCCAGGATTTGAAACCCCTTGGTAATGTAATTTTTAAAGAAGTAGTTACCTTAGAAACCGGGTTTCATAAATTTTCCAGGTTTGGAGCGTTCCACGCTCCGGTCCGGGTCAAGGCAGGTCACCAGTTAATTCTGGGTTTATCCATAATAGCGGGTCCACACTCTACTGAACTGATTCTAGTGATGGGCAGCCAAGTTCCAAGTCGACCGTCCAAAACACTACATCCAAACAGACACTACACCAAGAACAAGTGAAAAGGAGTCCTTCTGGCAACGAAATCCCCTTTGTTGTTTTAAACCAAATTTTCAAAAATACTATATGTTAGTTAGCCACTATTATGTTTATGACCGAGATGGTTTAAAATTACCAGAAGAGAAGCCATGTTTGTCAAGCAGTGAACATGGTGACCTAAGGTCCTGTGCTAAAACCATGCAAAAGACTGCCTAGTGTACATCCATTGTGGCCAGTTAGGGCCACGAGGAGAGGTGACTAGTGTGCCACATTATCAGAAAAAAATGGTCCAAATTCATACCATAATTATCTACGATTAAATACACTGCTCAACTAACTAAATCTTATCTCCAATGCAAGGGTGTGGTCTAGTGTGCCACGTTAACTAACTAAGAATGCACACTTATGAGAGCCTCTTAGTATTATCTATCAATTATATTTATAATTTTAGTATACAAATATTATGTTCACATGTTTCCCATCTTATTCCAAACACATTTTGGATGATGTAAAAAACATTATATTTTGGTACATTGTTTTTATTTATTCATATAACCATTACGGAGCATTAAAGTTCGAATGAGAGTAATTTTTAACCTTACAACTTTAATCTCGTATATAATTACACATATCTTATGTCTTTTTAACAAGCATTGATCGGGTTGACAGAGTTGACCCATCGTTGACCGGGCTGAACTCTGACCCGGTCTCTTGTCTGAGTCGCCTCCTGGTCCGGTATTGAGAACATAGTTCTTTTTGCTCTGCTCTCTTACTTTTGTTAAGTTTCATTGTATTGAAATACATAAAGACCTTTACTTTTTCATCTTCTCTTCCTTACATTTCTATTTTTCATCTTCTCCCCTACTGATTTTTTACTCTTAGGCTTCAGGAGAGCACTACTACATCGAATAAGAAATGGAGGGAGCATATTGTAAAAAGAATTCTTCAAACCGTCCATGCAAACAGTTCATTTACTTTTCAAGTTTGAACATAATTTGGTTGTCATAGTAGTAATAACAGTTCATTTACTTTTGAAGAAGAAACTAGCTCTTTCTATGATTAAGGTGCTCAAGGGACAGATCTATGATTTGTGTTGGGTTGCGGTGAAGAGGAGGGGTTGGACTAGGCTGAAGGAAATAATGATTTTGGCTATATGGAAAAGAAAAATCTCACAATTTTTTTTGACTTAAAAAAGTTGAAAATTACTCCGGTGAAGAGGAGGAGTAGTGTTTTCAAAAATTAGAAAAATCTCACATAAAAACCTTAAAAAACAAGTTTTTCTTTGCTTCAGCCCCACATAGGATTAGGGTAAAGGGTAAATCTGCCCCTGATCTATTCTGTTGCTGATATATCATGTTTGATTTTCTGCAGGAGGAAGAAGATGAATATGACAGGATTGCTGAGGGGGAGTGGAATACCAGTCACTCCTTCTCTAAAGATCCTCGTGCAGATCAGATTGCTGCTGAACTTAGGCTCAGGGAAGATGATGTAGAGGCATCAAAACGCAAACCTAAAGTTTCTGATGATCATTTCAAACCAAAACCAATATTGAAAATGAAGGAAAATTCTGAGGCAAAGTCTGGAAAACGAGTTAGATTTGATCCAAGTTTTGTCGATGACTTAGATAATGACCAACAAGAAAGATCACCTGTGTCTGCAGATGAAAGTCAACCCAAGGTTCCTGATCATCTCATCAATCTTTCGAAATACACACGCTATAGTTTGGATTCGTGTGGTGAGATTGATGATGTCTCCAATAGTCGAGCTTGTATGTATGTGCTTGAGGAGGTGAAAAAGTGGAAGCAAAAGAGCTCACCAACTGAAATTGATTCTCATCAACCTGTTAGCTTTGTCCCTAAGAAGAAGACTAGCAGTATAATAGCAATGGAGGATGATGGTAAAGACTATTCTAAAGAAAGTGTGAACCCACCGAGCTTTCCAGTACACATTGCGGCTTGGGAGGAACAAAAAAATGGAAGTGAAACAACAGAAGAAGATGATGATTTCGGAATGGATATGACAGAAGACGGTGTTGTTCGTAAACCAGATCGCCGTTACCGAAGCAAGTCAAGCATGGAAGATGATCTTGATTAAAGAACTTCATAATGGGTTCTTTTAATGTTATGTGGTTAGAAATGGAACTTACGTTCCACTATGGAATTGCCTCAAATCTTCCCTGTTTCTTTTCTTTTGCTCTTGTTTTATTCTTTTGCGAGCGTTTGTTGTACTTTTGTGTTAATACTAATATCGTGACAAATGACTTCGTAATATGGATGTGTTAGACTATGACTATGAGAGGCCTATGTTTTTTGGTGCACGCTATTTATACTCAGAAAAATCTTATGATCGATGATCGATCACCAAAGATGGTATTTCTTATATTCAAATGAGAGTTGTATATCAATAATAAAACGCTTCCCGGCCATGATCTAATAAGCCCCGGTTTATGATATGTCCACAATTCACATTGAACTAATGAAGTAAAGCACATATTTTAAGCGAAGGATGAATTCTTATGCGAAAAAATATTGCCATTTTCAATGATTTTACATGATATCACTAATACATTTTCAGCAATCACAAGTTGAGTAATTCTATTTAAATTATATCATATAGTAATTTGTTGTTTCAAGTTTTTCAACATTATATTAGTTACGTTTTTTAAAAACATAAAGTATAACCATTTCCTTTAATATACTCTGTATACAATAAGTGTATTGTAATAAAGTGAATGGAAGCATAAACAATGAAGTGTAATAAGCTACAAAGAAAAAGGCACCCCAACAATTGTTCGTTTTTGTCAATACTAGTCGATCTCGGCTTCACCGCATAATCTTACTCTCAAAGTTCACATTAAACCTTGAAAGTAAATTACGATTCACTCTTACAAAGTTAGAATCCATTGTGTTTTTTCTTCAATTGATCCATTTGAAGGGTTATTTATCAAGTGAAGAAAAAACACCATTGAAGCTTGTTTCCTTGAGAGTAAATTACGATTCAATTGAAGCATACCATTAACACCGTTTTTATCTATTTTATCGAGACTTCAGACCAAATCCTTTTCATATTCCTGGCGTAGTTCTCTTAATTCACTTATTTTTTAATACAATTTTGGATTTTCTTAATTTACATTTAATTATTAATGCATCTAGTATTTGTCGATTAATTCAAACACGGGTCAATTAATTGAAAAAACTATTCTTATTTTCGAGCATATTTGTCAAAATATCAGGTGCTCGTACCAACTACCTGCAAAATTTGAAACTAAGAGCCCGTTTGGTAACACTGTTATTCAGCTTATCAGCCGACTTTTTCACCAAACACGTACTTCGTAATTTTTTATTTCGGGCGCTGAAATGTGTAATAATAAGAAAAAGTAAGATTGAAGTTACTCTTATGGCTGTTTCGGGTGATGTGACTATAGAGGACTATTTTAACTATTTTTACAAATATTTTTTTCTTTATTTTATTAATAAAATATATTTTAAATTTAGTTTTTTCATAAATCAGCAGAATCAGCCAATACAACCACTTAAGTCATAACTTCATAAATTTCAACATAATCAGCCGATTTTAGTATTACCAAACGGGCTCTAAGTCTCATGTATAAAAGTGGTCAAGCTTTAAGTTCGAACCCGAAGACCACTTTCTTAGAGTCATCCAAACATGAAGTCAGGATGTTCAGGCATGACTTAATTTTGCAATCCCCATGGCCTAAGCCAATATTCGTATTTGGGATTCCAAATAGAATTCTATTTTCCCACCCCCATAGAACTCTAAATTGCATTAATAAGAAATTAATAGATGGTATTTCAAAAAAAAAAAATTAATAGATGGACTTTTTTTTGGAAGAGGGGGGCTTATATTGAAATAAAAGCATTAGCATTCAGAAAGTGAGTAAAATGAATAAGGACTCAAAGGACTCACATGCAACCGTCAGCCTTCGAACCAGATTTGAAGTTAATCACCTTCAAACAAGCAATATAACCCACTGATCCATTAATGGGCAAACCTGAGCCACAGATGATTGAAGTAGACCTAACTTCACCCGATCTTAATGCAAGAGTCTTACAATAAAAAATAATAGCAACAAAACAAATAAAAGTGTGATGACAAAAACGACAATAAAAATGCAGATAAATAAAAATTCCTTTCCTTCTTCACGAGCACCTCCATAGATTCACCAAGCGAGTCCCCTGGTGGTGGTTCGGGAGGAGGTCGGACCATCACTATGATTGTTGACACGAACAAGCCACGGCTCCAAACCCTAATACCAAAGGCTCTGCTCCCATTCGTCGCAAGGTCGGTTTCCTGCCGAGCAACCTTCATCTGACCCACCTCTCCGTTCAGCAATACATCCTTCGTTGAACCACTTTCCTTCGTCATTCTGCCGCCCATCACATTCTCCGCCCGAATTGAACCACCGGTCGCCCTGCTCAAATCTGCTACTCCAAGATTCCGCTCGCCCTTTGTCCTTTGACCTGCAAAACGAAACGGAAAGCAAACTTCCGAAGCTCCCAAAACACCCCTGCCTACGGCCGCACCTCGGAAGGCCGAGAGCGGAGAAAACGAAGCTCTAGCGGCTAAAAGCCCTAGAAAGAGACCCACATGTAAATTAATACATGACTTATTAAGTGTTGAGAGTTATGAAAGCTTTAAATGACTTTCTAAAACATACTAATCGCATTTTATGACAATTATTATTGTTTTAACTAATAAATAAGTATTTAATCATCTTCTCATTTTTTGAATTAATATTAAGGGTGTTGTATTTGGACTATTTTCAGTCACAGACCAGACAAGATAAGATCAAAGCAGACTTGCATAGTTATAAAATACATAGGGACTAGACATTTGTCAGACCAAGCCAGAAAATTTTAGTCCAATTAAAAACATTCTAAAAGGGTGATATACATATTTGGTTGTATTATAGTTTATTTATTTTAATAACAATAATATGGTAAGAAGAGTTTTGAATTTGAATAATTATTCCTTTTAATATAATCAAGAGGTATTTCGCAATTATTTAGAACACTTGATACGATAAGTTTACAAGGTGAAAAGTTAATCACATTTATATGGATAAAAAGTATTTTAATAATAATAAAGAAGTAATCAAAGTAGTGAAATATAATAAAAATTGTTAATGGATTTATATTGAATTGTACAGACTATGTGAAATTCTAATCATATTCCATGGAATTTCAAATCCAGCTTTGACCCTAGATTTCTCGCCACCATGAAGCGCCAAGGTGGCTACGACCCAAGATTTCTCGCCTTGGATTTGTTCCTCTTCCTCCGAGCTCTTGTTAATAATCTTCCCACCGTAAACCCTTGGATTTGTTCCTCTTTCACCATTCTTTGCCGCTCGCCTGCTTCGAGATTCTACAGTCAACTCTTGGATGGATTACGGACTACACCAACTCCAAACACTAATCCTCTTTAGCTCTGCAAGGTCTGCATTTTCAGTTTTCACCATTACAAAGGAAGGAAGAAGATCGATCCAGATTAGTTGTATGGGGGGCGGATGTAGCTTGCTTGCTTTTGTTTTGCTTCGTGACGGGAAATCCGCTGAAATCACAAGGGTGGGCAGAGATTTTTGGTCGTATTCTTTCCTTCGTATTTTAGGCTTTAAAATCCACGAAAACCTTAGGGCTCGTTTGTTACGATGTAAAGCATACACTTTACATGTAAAGTGTGAGGATGAAAACTGTTTACACCGTTTGTTTTAACTATTTAATGTAAACTGTAGGACACTTTTTTTAAAACATTTTACACTGTACCATGTAAAATACTTTACTAGGGGAAGGGTGGTAAACTAGTTTACATCCATTAACGTGACAGATCGAGAATAAATATACGAAGTCTTATGACAGCAAGAATCTCTGAATCTCTCTTTTCTCAACGGCAAAGCAGATAATATTAAGGTAAACAATTGCTTTCTCCTCCAATGACTGCAAAGCAAATAATTTGATTTGAAGAATCCATTTTCTCCTCCTGCGGAGTATGTACGAAAATGGAATCCTCAAATGATCATGTCACCAAATCTTCAAATCTGCTCTCCATCCACATTATTACATTAACACACACGTAAGCTTCTCAAAATTAAAAGTTGCAGGCAACCTGACAATTAGAAGTTTCTCCATGGTAATTATTCTAGAAGTTCTTCACACGTTGAATGAACTATTTTCTAAACATCTTACATGTAATTTAAAAATAGATTAATAAATGATCAAACAGTGTATTCCTATTTTACACGCAAACTATTTTACGCCCCAAACCTTTACATGTAATCATTTTACATGTAAACTTTTAATGTGTAAACTACCAAACGGGCTCTTAGATCCAAGAAATAAAGAATCCTAAAGAATCCATGGACAGTTTGAGGACAACAGGATGTTCATAGACTACATCCAAATCCAAATCTAGAACACCCAAATTTTGTTGGAATTCTAAATTCCTTTAAAATCTTTAAGAATTCATATTGAGGACACCACCCCTAAAGAATGATTTAGAACCTACACAAACTTACTAAATTTGATATGAGACAATCTTAGAAGAAAATTCCAATGACTAGACTCTTTTATCTCACAAGCAAAAATACGAGACTCCAAATTACGGTACAAAAAATAGGAATCAGAATGCCACATTGCGAAATCCGAATGAAAAACACAAACAAAATATGAGTCATAGTTTGTAAGGTATTTTATTTTTATTCGTTAATTTGTTTTCAATTCTTCGCTCATACCTATTTTTTAATAAATCATTAATTTAGAAATAAACAAGGTATTCAAATGCTGCTATGTGTATGGCCCGCTTTTTGGCTAATACTCCGTAATTTTTTGGTACCCTTCATACGCCGGTAAATTGTTTTTGTCGGTTAATTTTTCAATATTTTTAGTGTTTTTTTGGAAAGAGGCAGTTTATTCATAAAAGGAAAAACACTACATAGCAAAAAAGGAAAAAGCAGTATTTTTGGCTTAATACAAAAATATAAAATAAAATAAAGTATATGGACAATGGACCATCTGTATACCTTCCATATGGTATACACTTTTTATTCGATCCGTATATGGATTAATCTATTACGGACAGTGTTCTAAAAGGCGTGACGAGGCGGCACGCCCGAGCCTTAGGCCTTTGAAGCCTAGGCGAGTTTAGGCGGGAATTAGGCGTAGAAAGGCGTTTTAGTTTTTTTACTAATTTTTCTAAATTTTATAGATATTTTTTTAAACATATAAATGCAATATTATAAAATATCATGCAAAACATAATAGTAATACATTTTCCAACAAAAATAAACTTCTGAATTACTAAAATGGACACCTATTATATAAATTTGGTATATAAAAAGTAAGAGTTCATAAAAAAAAGTTCAATGACAATACAAATAATAATGAAATTGTCCGTTCAAAAAAATAATGAAATTGTTTGTAATCATCATTATCATTAGTTCATTACTATGTATATAATAATGACCCTATAATAATAATATACGGAGTAATAATTTAATGATACTCCTTAATAAGGATTTACGATGTTGAATTTGTTGGAGCCTAGTTGACAACTGCTTTTAACCTTGGTACGGAGTATTATTTGTCCGGCCAACTGGGTTTTAACTTCATCCCACACCGGAAGGAGATGAAGCACTCCTCGTTCCAACACTCTATATATATTGTGGACATCCTCTTCTCTTCCTTGTGAATGAAACTTGTGCTCTAGCGGGTCTTCGTACCCTTGATTTGCTAATAAATGATAGTTAAAAGTTTAAATTGTGTAGCACTCACGCCTTTGGTCACGCATATGCATAGGCGGGGCGTATTACGGAGTACATTTTAATGATATAACTCACTCATTTTTAATAGACACTAGTATAGTACCCGTGCGATGCACGGGAAATTTTATTAGATTTGTGATTATAAAAAAAAGATAAGTACATTGAAAATCATTTTTTTTGGTAAAATACATTGAAAATCATTGAAAGTACATGCAAATGTGAAAATCATAAGTGAATTGAACGAATTGACTCAGAGCCCATTTGGTAACACTGAAATGGGTTGATTCTGCTGAAATTTATAAAGTTCTGATCAAAGTGGTTCCGTTGGATGATTCTGCTGATTTATGGAAAAAAAATATTTAAAATATATGTCATTGATAAAATAAAGAAAATGTTATATGATAAAATAGCTAAAATGGTCATCTATAGTTACTTCAGTCAATACAGCCAGAAAAGTAGGGTACTTTGAAAGGAAGCTTATAATGGATTAATTACAAAGTTGAGTAGTAATTTGGTTTTTCCTGGGTCGATGCCCGAGTGGTTAATGGGGACGGACTGTAAATTCGTTGGCAATATGTCTACGCTGGTTCAAATCTAGCTCGGCCCAATCATTCGCAAATCCCAATAAGAAAACAGAACCTGGACTTGAAAAATATCTCAGAACTATACTGATAGATAGGTCAAAAAATAAAAATTTTGACTGGATTCCTTATTTGACGGGGATTGTAGTTCAATTGGTCAGAGCACCGCCCTGTCAAGGTGGAAGCTGCGGGTTCGAGCCCCGTCAGTCCCGATGGATCCAAAGAATAAATAAATAAATAAATAAATAAATAAATAAATAAATAAATAAATAAATAAATAAATAAGGTGACTTTTTCTCATTTTTATCTTGAAGTTTTATATGAGAGACCTTACTTTTTGTTATTATTACACAATTTGGTGCGCGATATCAAAATTTACGTGTTTGGTTAAAAAGTTGGCTGATAAGCCTGATAAGCCCAAAAACAGAATCACCAAGCAGGCATTCTACTTAATTTGATGATGTTCGAATTTGATGAAAAGTGGGACTGAATTTGGCTCGAACTTTACATTTTTTTAATAATACACAATTAAATAATAATTACCTGTTTGATGAAAAAGTTGGGTGATGAATAAAAAAATAGTCATTAAGATGCTCTAAACATTCAGATGAAAATGAATCAATGAAAATGAAAAATATATTGTGAACCATTTAGTTACGTTATAGCATAGCAGCTTATTAACCCCAATTCAGTACCAAGAATTGGGCTATAGACTTTTATACATATTTCGATGCAAAAATAAATAAATTTCATTAATTTTTTTTACGTTTTTCGGTTAACAAAAAATGAATTTAGTCCAAGTAAAGTTTTATTATGGAATATTCAGTTATGCGTAGAGGCTCCATGGATTAAAAATTTGTGTCTTGTGTTTTTTCAGGCTCAAGAAAATTCCAATAGTTAAAACATAAGATTTGTTTTCATTTTATATATTATATGTTGGTGTCATATGAAAGATAATAAAAATTCGTAAATTTTGATATATCTTTTGAAAAATTTGGAGAACAAATAAAAAAGTTATAAGAGTTTTGAAAATTTTGAGATTAGAATGATGCATGGATGACATCATCCTCACATCCATACAACACATTCTTGGCCATTCCCTTCCCTATTTTTTTTTCACTCCTACCAACCCACCTTCTATTTCTAACACCCTCCATCCCCTCTTCCATTCTTAATACCCTATTTAGCCTATCACTACATAAAATTAAGAGTCCAAAAGTTCCATCTTTAACATTTTGGACTCCTAATACTACACCACCCCAATTGGCCTAAGGGCTTGTTTGCAATCACTTAAGAAAAGTGATTTTGGCTTTTTTCTAAGAAAAAAGCACTTATTTTACCAAACACTACCAACTTTTACTTTCTCGTCTTCTGTGTAGAATCTACTTTTTACTTTTTCTATTACACAAAAAGCACTTATTTTACCAAACACTACCAACTTTTACTACTAATAACTTTTTCCCAAAAAGTACCTTTATTTAAGCACAAGTGGTTGCAAACAAAGCCTAAGTATAGAGTTGGCAACTTCTCTAAAATTGACCGACTCTCTCCCACAATTTCTCAAAACCGACTACAAACCCACTTACCCACCCCCTTCTACATTGACAGTATCCAAAAAATTCAGAGCCTGCTATCAATCCGTCGGAACTCGGAACAATAAATCGTTCTTCTTTCATCCCCCAAAACATCAACCACAGCTGCCGCAAACATCCTCATCCCCGATTCCCGACCTCCTTCGAGGGTCTTTTATAAACGCTGAGATTCATGCAATTCATATATTCGTCAAAGTTCTGTTCAATACTTGAAATTGTAAGTCTGTTTTAGATTTTTAGCTCTTTTAAAATATAGATGCTCTTTTTATCTATTTACATACTCTTCTTTCTGCGTTTGCAATTTGTGTGATCTAACTTGTTTAATTTTAGGCCATGTGTGTGTCGACAGTGTGTTTTTGAAACTCCAAACAACAGGATGCTTCACACAGTGTTACATGTCAAGTTTTTAATCACTTTTTAAAGCAATTTTGAATATTACGTAGTATTTAGATATTCTTATAGAGCTCTGAAGCAATATGTAGTTTCCATTTTGGGAACTTCATGAAAATAGGTTTTTCCGTATTTCAAGATTCAGATGTATACCTTTTTTGCAACATAAGTTAACATAGTTAGCAGAATGCTCATGTCTTAAAAAGTTAAAGCATTTTTATTTTTGTAAAGGAAAATATATTATAGAATTTAATTTAGGGTAATTTGTAT